TATTGGTATTGGATGTTGGGTAATTTTCAACCAAAAAATGTAAATAACTTTTCAAATATTAATGATAGCAATTTGCAGTCTTCTGAAAAGATATGTAATTTGATGTTTCTAACATCTTTGTACATCATGCCAAACATGTAAAAATATTGTACACGCAGAAAAATGGAGTTTTGTTTCAGGGCTCAATGTATTGTGTTATTAATTCAAACATATTGTATCACTATTTCAACAAAACATGTTTTTGAATCAACAAAATGCTTTTTAGAATCAACAAACAGATTATTGACTCTACAACCGGTTTGTTGATTCAAAAATATTTTTCTTTGAATTAACCAGATTATATATTTGAAACAATATCTAAAATATATTAGGCCCTGAGTCAAAAATATATCCATTTGAACTTAAAATCCATTTCTCTGCGTGTAGAAAAAGTTACAGATACAAAATTGATTTTAACGATGTCTCCACAAAGTAACATTTATATCTCAGCATCTATAAGAACTAGAAAGTTTCAGTTTTCAGCAAAGTTGTTCACAGTAATGTTCTCTACAGCTTCGCGCTGCACAATTATTTTGTATCTCATCATACTAAAAAAAAAATTTTGTATCTCACTTTTAGGTGGATTAATCTTTAATTTTCTTTTACCGTAAGAAGGAGTGTTGTAACATGAGAAACTTCTCAGAAGACACCTAGTACCTTTAATCATCCATTTCTGCGTAAATAAAAAAGCGCGTGTTTTGATACCCTTGGCACCACTGTGTGGTGGTTGGAACAAAAAACGTTTGACAGGCATTTGTTGATGTTTCATTGACGAAGAAATTGGTGAAAAGTTTTTCTTTAGTGGCCAAAAAGCGAGCACGATTACTATACGAACGAGTTTTGACGAATTTTAAGGCTGTATTTTAATGGATGATGAAACATATGGACTATAAACAAATCCCCGGACGAAAATTTTACCTGTCAACTGGTCGTGGGGATGTCCCTTACAGGTATAAATTTGTTTTTGCTGATAAGTTTGCTCGGAAACTAATGATTTGGCAAGGAATCTGCAGTTGTGGCCTTAAAACCAAGGTTTTCATCACATCTCACACAATGACGTCGAAGGTTTATATTAAAGAGTGTCTGAAAAAGCGGATTTTACTCTTCATTCGTCAACACAAGACCAAAGTTATGTTTTGGCCGGCTCTAGCCAGCTGCCACTACTCTATGGAGGTACTAGAATGGTATGCTGCAAACAAAGTTAATTTCGTCGCCAAAGAGATTAATCCTCCGAATTGCCCTGAGTTCAGACCGATCGAAAAATATTGGGCAATTCCTGAGTCGGATATCAAAATACTATCAAAATAATATCTTATTTTGTTTTCGAAATCATGTTGATAACATATTTTGATATGCTTTTTTTTTAATTTCGGTTGAATTCATATTTTGATATTGTTTTGATATTTCTAAAAAATTTAATTAAAAACAAAATTTGATATTTTATAAAAAAAGAGCATCCACTTTTATCACTGAAATCTAATTTTTATGAAGAGCTTTGAGTTTGTTGGCTTATTTCCTTGAAATTCCGTTATAATTGCTTATTTTTTCACAGATACGCGTATTTCGTCTACTTTGCAGAGTTCATCAGTGCCAAGCAGTGGTGGCACGAGTACTGGAGTTTAACGTTTTTTCCTTAACATTTGATACTTTGCGCAATGGCCATAGAGAAGACGCACAAACACAAGCTGGCCAGCGGAAAAATGTCATGACATTTCTAAACTGTTTTCTGCAGGCGACAGAACATCTGCGCACAATAAAGCAGACAAGACCAGTGGCGCGTGCGACATAAATGTATGTGATGTATAAAATTGCTGATTTCTGGCTAATTATAGCATTTATTTGATGTTTATTTAATTGAAATTCGCCGAATCAAACCGCTACTATGGCTAGGAAGTTAGCCTATAGCCAGCTGACTGACAGTTTCTGAAGTTTCCTGTCAGCAGTTTTCCGCAGTCCCTGCTTGGCACTTATGCATGTTATTTGGATCATCATCGAAACGCAATTTCTGGAGAAGGCTGGTCTGTTTTTATTCAGAACGTGACGCAAACGCTATTGACAATATTTTGGGTACTTCTACTATACCCTTTAATATAATTTGATGCCTTCCAGTGCTTCTTGAACCGCATTTACTGCACTCTTCTCCGTTGACTGTGCTGTCATCAGGGCTCTACATTTTCGAAGCTCTAAAATGAACTCGAGTTTTGTTTCTCTCATACAAACGTGTTCAACGCTTAATTTCTATAACGCCTAGCTAGACTATCAGCAAGAAATGATAATGAAAAAGAAGCACGCGTAGAAGGCAACGCTGGCTGTGGATCTTCTCGTCGTTGCTTTGCTCATCGCTTTAAATGTAAGTAACGTCGATTTTCTAGTTAAACGAAACCTCATTACGGCTTTCAATCCCCTTTCACGAAAACTCTATCACTGCTCTTTCAATTTGTTTAAAATGCGTTATGTCCCGTTTTCGTTAATTTTTTTTAGATAAATATGTAGATGGAAGATAAATTAAACATATTACGTGTAATCTTCAAGTGTTTTCACGTGAGAAATGCTTAAAATATGTAATTTCATTTCCGTCATATACGTCATGAAACCTCTGTTGATGTGTTTCATGAAAGAGAAAACTATCAAAGTCGAGCTCTCTTTCGCTCATCCGTTTTACCGAAGCTTGAAAGGAAGACTAATGGAGCGACGGGAGAAAGAGAGACAAGCGATAGAACATTTGTTTGTGCACGCCGACTGAGGTTCTAGAATGCTGCGAAGCTGATCGACTTTAACAGAAAAAGAAAGTCAGCAGTCTCTTCGTCGCATCGATTTGGTCGATTGAAGCTGATATTGTGACGCCCTGGCTGTCATTGTAAACCGGTTCAGTCGGAGCTACTGGGCCTCCAAAGAAGTTCTGGAATTTGATTCCTTTTGCCTTCCGTCGACAGTATCGCTAGAATAATTCCTTCTTCTATCGCTAGTATTATTACTTGACTATCCTTTGGCATTTCCTTGTGATCCTGCGTTTTAAAACTACGCGGATCCATATTTTTAGTAAACAGTAGGGGGTTTTGTGATACACTTTATTGGCACAAAAAAGCAGCAATAAATGCGTTTGGTTCCCGTTTGAAACCGAACGGTTTTATAATTGCTTTTATAATGATAAAACACCTTTACGGAGTATTTTATCGTGACATCAATAAAAAATACCAAGCAGGTTTATGATTGACTAACTGAACAGATTAATACAGGGATAGAGTGCTGCATTAAAGTCATGATTAAAAACAGACCCGTTATGACTTTATCGTCAGACTTTAAAAAAATTATTTTAATTTTAAAATAGAAAAATGCTAAACAACTCACCAAGAATGTGTTGCACTATTGAATGCTGTATTTAAACTAAAAAGATTGCTTATTGCCGTTATAAAACCACAATAAATGAGTGTGAAAGCTAAAAGGCTGCTAAATTGTTACTTGGGTAGGTAGGGTCCAAGTATGGGAGCGGCCTGCCTGACGTCAGTAGTAATGGTGCTCAGCACGGAAAACAAATCAAGGAAAAAAAAAACTCCAATGGATTTCAAAACATTCAGATTACTAAATTTGATATCATGATACCAAAATAATAACTAATTTAGTTTTATTTTTTTGTTTGTTTTCCTACCATAGTTATAATAACATATTGATTACTTATTTTGTTTATTATTAACGAAATTACTGATATCTAAACGCAAACATAGATTTGTTATCAAGAAAACATGATTTATTATCTTTTTAATAAACTTCACATACTGTTAACTCGACCACACTGTAGGCAAAATGTGTTATCACGAAAGCTTGTATCAAAATATCAAATTTAGTTTTCATTTTGTTTTCATTCTATGATCGGGTTGTCAAGCGAAAACTTCTAGGATGCGGTAAAGAAGTGACAAATGCACAACAAATGCGTTTAAAGTGGAATAAGTTCGCCGGTTTAGTGTCACCAGCGACTGTGCATATCATGATGGCATCGATCACAAGTAAAGTGCGACAGTTCGTTCGAAACGGTGAAATGTAATAACTTGTTATATATCGTTTGAAAGTTGAATAAATACCCTTTTGTTTGACGTTTAGATCAACTGTGTATGTTGTTTAATTGTTGAGTTATGATCACTTGAATGCGTCCAAATTGCTTTGAATCGGGCTTTATCTATAGTCAGAACCACTGCTAGTCTCCTGAAAGACTTCCATGTTATTTCTGATGTGTTTCACGACATTTCGACGTAAGTCCATCCATCTTCAGTTCCTATTTGCGTCATATAAAACTGTAACACTACACACTTAGAATATTTTACAGATTTCGGTGAAATTTTACCGAAATCTCAACAGCTGAACGTTCGGTGATTTTTCAAATCACCGAACAATCTGTAAAGTTGCAAAAATGTTATCTGTCAAAATTGCCGAAAAGTTCTGTGATTTTTCACAGTTGTCCTGTTATTTTTCACAGATATACTGTGATTTTTTTTGTTAAAATAAAATGAATTTACCGAACGATTCGGTATTTTTTCACAATAATTCTGTGAACTTACAACTCATTTCTGTTGGTTCTTTTTGGTTCTAATGAAATAAATACTGAAAATCAAAATATTTTGACTGTTATGCAGAAGTAAGAAGTGTACGATAAACACACGTTTATTTCGAGAACACAGTCTCAACATTGAGATCCTCAATACTTTTCTATATTCTGATAAAATAATCAAAAACTTTTTTGACGATTTATTTTATTGTAATGAAAAATTTGTGATCAAAAATCACATGTAAAACCTTGTACTCTTTTACAGCTTCGTTTAAGAAATAATCTTTGTTCAAAAGCGATTCGTTCATGAAACTACATTCATTGTTTTCATTCGTTTCGCGGAGTATTATTAATTGTGATTACCAGAGGAAACTCCGCTGATTTATTAAACAAGCATGGTTAACGGGGAGAATTTGGATAAAATTTAAGTCACCGCATGTAAGAACTTCATTCCTGTTGTACTTAATTGTCCCACGCCCATTACTGCTCCGACCATAAATAAATAAAATTGTTTGTCACAAGGTGCTGGAGAAACATTGAAAACATAGAACGACTCCAACAGGACTGAAAATGATGATTTTATATCCAATTGGAGAGGAAAAACAATGTTCCCCCAAACAATCGCACAATCGGTTGATTCCTCCAGCAATGTACCTCTAGCATACAAAATTGGCACGCATTTTTGATCACCATGTGATGGGAAATCGTCTTCAGCCTGCATGAAAAAAATAGTTAATAATAAAACCATGCTAAGACATTTGAAGAACACTAAACTTACATTAATCCACTGTATAATTCCTCTCAAGGGATTCTTCCGACTTGCTTCTTCATCTCTTACTCTTTTAGACCCACGAGACGGATTCTTCATGCGGATAATTGCCAGCGCACGAACGAAATCTAGTAGTCAAAAAGTCAATGTTCAAGTTATCATTTCTTTTTCAAAGTTGACATCTCTTAAAAAAGTTACAATTTTTGAGTTCCATGTAGAGTTCACGATTATTCATAATCACTTTTGGTTCCACCGTATTCCAGTTTTCCATAAACGGTTTCGCTGTCGGTTTGAGTTTTTGAAAATCAATACGGATCTGCAAAGTTGTAATATTTGTCTAAACGGAACAATATTTTTAAAAAACACTTGATCATAATCCAAATCTCCATCGTAGGCCGTTATAACAAGACAATCTTTTGCAAACGAAAAAAAGTTTTCCTCGAACCGGTATTTCTGTCGTCTCTCAAACGTTTTGTTCCATAGATCGATCACATGGGATTTTGTCTGCTGGTTTGGTACAATGAATCGTAGCTCACCTTCCTAATTAAAAAAGTAGTTTCATAAATTTAATCTTGCAATTATATTACAGATACTTACGGCTTCAACCAAATTGATTTCGGTCTCCAGATTGCTTTCATGAACTGCTTCTTGAGATTTTACTATGCGAGGATGACGCTTTGATGCTCGGTCAACGGATGTCCTAGCAAGGTACTCCATCCTGTAATGGATCCGGCCTGCGTGACGATGTGTACCTCGGGCATGGGGATGGAACCATAAAGCCTACGAAAGGAATTTAAATGCAATTGTTGAACGGCATTACTTAAATCACCACTTAGATGCTTATTCACCTGCGGAGTGTCAGAGGAGTTAGCTGCCAGTGTAGGATAAGACCGTACCAGGGACACAGCTATTTGATTTTTATAAAAATTGCTTGGACGGCTGCAACGAAAATAATTCTCAATTGATAATTGTTGATTTTTTTAAAATGAAAGCAGCATGCACAACTTGCTATTTAAATGAAGATAATTTATAATAAGTTACGGTTTGATGGAGAAAACAACAAGCTAAAAGATAACACTAAATATACGGCTAGCACCAATCTCAGTGGTAGCACTTCGTGCTAATAGCATAGTTCCTCTTGCCGTAGAGTGCTGTCACATATGATGTGTTGGTTATCGAAAGTCAGTTGGTTTTGCGATTTGGTGTTATCGTTGGCTTGTTGCTTTCGCAACATAACCAATATAAAGATGAGCAATCAAAATTTTACTTACCAACCGTATAGTGCTTTCAAACAGTCACAAAGTATGTTACAGATCTGCTTAATCATCGTCTCCTTAGGCTTGGTCTGTTCTTTAAGGACCTCCATGATTGCAAGACCATTTTCTGTCATCTGGAGAACGCAGTCGATATCAATTATCTGAAATGGTATCGTTAGTTAGTACAGAATGCATATTTTAAGACAACTTATCCAAAACCTTACCTCATCAAGGCATATTCCTTGATATGGATTATCAGAGTCAGTAGGAGCAGATGGAGCTTGGAAACTGGCATCTTGTGTAGCGTGATCCTTATTTTGAAATAATTCTTCGTCAATATACTCTACTGCAACTTCTCGGTATTCGTGTTGTAATCGCTGAATCAGCTTAATCATCTTTGTTGCAAGGTTTAATCTAATGAAATCTTTATCATCTAACTGTAGGAATGTTTCTAGATCGTCGATTTCTTCTCGCTCTAAATAAAAATAGACGTCAGTGAATAAGCAATACAATCTCTAGAGCGGTGATGAACAAAAATTATACTTTTAATAATCACGGTTGTAAAATCGTCTAGAAATATATTTTTTGTTGCAGCTGTACGGCGACCAAAAGGAATACACAGTATGAGTAAAGCATAGTTGTGAGTAAAGTAATTGCTGGCCATCCAATACTTGCACCTCATACGCCTCGAAAAAACTGCTATAGCATACAGTTTCCACCAACCGCAACAAAAAGTACATTTTTCCATCAATAACAGCAATTTCTCTAATAATTCCATAAGCAGGGAATAAATTATCTGCGTGCTGATTTATGCCGATCACAGCATTTACTCTGAACTCAACCCCATTAAATATTGCAGTTTTTGGTATGAACACGTGTTGTACTGTTGGATCCAGAAGTAGTGAACTTAGACATTCATTACGACCAACGAGTTTTCCTGATGTGAAATTCAACTTGTCACAGAATGGGTTGTCCAATATATTCAAGGTCATTTTAACACATTGCCTTTTGGCCAAACTATGACAAATATTTTTGAAATTTTTACATGTAGAAGCTTGGTTTTTGGCGATTTTGTTGGTTTGTTCAAACTGCAGACAGTTATATTGCTTCATGGATCCACTTTTTTGAATGCAAAGGGCGTAATGTTTGAGGTGATGTAACTTATTTATGCGACGGTCGAAAGTTGAGTAGAATGTTTGTTCGAAATAATGCAGGTCCTCTTCTAATTGGTAAATTAGATGTTGGGAAACGACTGGAGACATTATAATTTTTACGATGTTGATAAGATGACCGATCATAACCATCAACTCGCAATCCGGTGGTACCTTGTGCCCAAACATAAATGGGAAAGATCGCAGTAACAAAAATGTTTGTGTTGATGTTTGCTTCAGTTTGTGCATGTTCGGATGTACTAGCATTTCATGTGTGAAATTTGCTGAAGGCTTGTTGTGGCGATCAGTATAGCCATAGGTAAAGGTGTTTATGCGATTGTTGATAAATGGTACATCAATTTTCAAATGTTTCTGCTTGTAATAGTGTGACAATACTAGTTGTATTGTTAACGGAACAACCCCTTCTGCAAAATCGTGCATTCCATCGAGATTAAAGTTGTCCGATATATGATAGTTCTGTAGTTCATTTAGGATACACCCTGATGCTTTCAATCCGCAATCCTTCGGAGCAATCCATCCTTTTTGAACAGCATCAAGTTTTTCGTCGTACCATTCTCTAGTTCGCAGAGCAAATTCGCCAGATGGGTTGTTATGGAACTCATCTCTGGAAATCTGACAAATTCTACAGAAGTAGTTGGCACTTGGTCCAAGGAGTCCAAATACGTCATGTGCTGCAAGAGTGTCTCCACAAAACATTGTAACTACAGATTTTAATGCAAATTTTTCGTTACCATAGTAGACCGTAACACCCTCTTCCAATTTTCTCAGATCAGCAATCAACGGTTGTAGTATTTTCTGAAATCCTTGTTTTTTAACGTCAATCGAATTACAAAAAAGCAACGGGAATAATGTTTTCGGAGAGCTGTTCCACTTTTCAGGAAAATTCTGAATTTTAAAATTTAAATTGCATACTTTATTTATGCCAGCTCGTGAACTAAAGGCATTACCTAATTCAACGTCATCCTGGTACAAACTAATGCGAATACAGTTGGGATTTTCCCGGAAGTACTCACTGTTTTTAAACAGTTCGTCTGATTTAAATGAACTATACTCTTTGACGCATGGAGTGTCAGCTGCATCTGATTCTATTAAAAGTTTCCTATTGGAGAGATCTCGAAACAAAAACTTCAGCGTATCCATAATGCTTATGTAGGAGCCAGTTTCATTCACCAAAACTTTTTTGGGAAGTGAGTCAACGTGTCGAACATCTTGTCGGCGACTTAACAAAATATCACGAGGAATCGGAGCTGATACGCTATTTTTTTTCCAAAAACTTGGTTTGTTTTTGAAACGTGTTAACCTCGGAAAACAGATCAAGCTGAAATTTGTTTCTCAAATCGATGAGATCATTGTCGGGAACATGCACATTATGTGCATTCAAAAAGGCAAGCACTTGTGCCTCCAAGTACTCAGTTACATGTTGAACCGTTGTGTCGCATAATTTTATTACTTCTGCAATTTTCGTTTGAGGCAAACTAACGTCGCTTAACAATCGACAAACACTCAAACCAATTATCTTCCGGATTCCCCCCAAATTTTTGTTTGATGTCGGATGGGAAGGAATAGCATATTGCTCCTGTTCAGTCGACTCCTCGAAAGTGTGATCCGGTTCATGGTTCTGCTCTAAATCGGTAGGTTCCCATGTAGTTGTAGCACTTTGCACTGGATGCTTTTCTATAATGTTTGAGTGTGTAAAATTTAACAAATCGCGCATTACATTTCGAAAAAGTGCAATCGAAGAAAGTGTCTCCGAGGCGGAAGTGATTTTTCTTCAAATGATCGTTTATGTGACGATGAAAACCCGTCACATAACCGGGAACTTTGATCCGGCAGAAAAAACAGATTGTCGGCAACTAAAACAAAACATAGAGTTTATAATACATATTTATCATACTTACGGAAAATACTGACGAGTTTCTCGTTGTTCTCCTGGAGTGCTTCCAAAATGTCATCCATATTATTCACTTTAAACGGACCACTTCACAAATTGTGTTCACGAACTGGCGCTCGCAATTGTCAATATGGCTGACAGCTGTATTTACAGAAGTTCGGTGAAAAACACAGTATTCGGTAAAAAATAGCTACGCCACCGAACTATCTGTAATTATTTCACTGATTTTTGTAAACTTGTTTGGTTTCACCGATCTTTCTGTGGATTTATGTCGAATTAGTGGAAAACATATTGATTTTACAAAACAATCTGTAAAGTTTTCGTTTACAGATCAATTTCGGTAATTTTTTTCACAAAATTCGGCGATCTATTCTTAGTGTGTAGCGCCGTAAATAGTTCATAATTATTCAACAGATGTGAAATGAGGAAACAATTAAACTTAACACGATTTAAAGTATTTCAACAGCGGTGTCGGTGGTATAGTGGTAAACGTAACTGCCTCTCACCCCAAAAGGCCCGAGCTCAATCCCAGTCAGCGCTGTCGGGATTTTCTGAGGCATAAACAAATTTCTGATCACGCCTTCCTTTTTCTGGTGGCCACTTGGAGCCAATGGCCAGCTAATATACAGTGATTTCCCGATTGAGTCACCTCCTTTTCCTGAAGTAAGGATCACACTACCAAATTAACAATTTTCACAATGTAAACGTTTTGCTCATTTCATTTATACAGCCTCAAGCTGCATTCAAATGCAATACACTATGAGGTAACCTTTACTCAACCTCTATACAAGCAAATCTGGCGAACTTAGTCAGCTACTTATGGCTGTTGGCATGGTTGTGACCAGTCTTGTAAGCGGTCACGGTACTCGACACATTTTATGTGATAATTGACTGCCTTTGCCTCAGACACTTGCAAAACAAGCTTTCATAGTACAGTACTAAACTAAAATGTCATATGACAGGCTCTGTCATACGACACTGTCGCCGAAGACCGTCACGAAGTATGTATTTTAGTTTTCTCATAATAAGAGCTGCTGATGGTGTGCTTGTGTGAATTCTGAAAATAGCAAGCAATGATGTCCTAGTAACAATATTTCTGATCAGAAATGGTTTGATTTACACCAAATTTTTTTTTTATGTCTTTATTAAGGAGACTTTCAGCCGTTGGCTGGCTCGTCTCCGATTACACCAAATTGAGGAATTACAACGAAATCAGACATGTCATATGATAGCTATTTTGATAATTTTCTTTTAGCTCGAATGTTATTCTACCGCTCGTGTTGTGTGAGAGAGACGACGTTAGAGCATGAGTGTTCGAATACAAACAGACTGTCGCGCACGACAACGAAGCGAGTGTAGTAAAAAACGTCAACTGTTTCAACCCCTGCTTGTGGCAAGCTCTTATTGCATATCCATTTACGCTTCTATACAGCATTTATTCTGCTGTTTAGTTGTGTGTGAACTTGACAGGCGCTTATTCAATAATTTCCCGATTATCCAATAATCACTATACAGCTTAATGTTAATGCCGAGTTAAATATTGTTTGCTTTTTATATGATGGGGGATTAATTGAATTTATTTTACTGCGAATCAAATTACTTGAAGTTAGCTATAAGCACACATACCATCAAATTATTACCCTGCACCGAAACCTGGACTCGAACTCGAGAAGACCGCATTGGCAAACCTTGACACTACCGACTTCGATACGCCAACACTTTGAACTAACGTAAACACATCTACATGACTTTCTACAACAAGATCGCTGAGTAGAGGCTTTATAGTAGTGCACATAAATCACCTTTCTCAACTAGTTAGTTCAGCTTTGTATAAGTGACTTTAAAATGCTTCCAAAGTAGCGCTAACACAGTTTATTAGCTGAGTACAGGTTGTGTAGTTGTTAAAAAAAGCACTTTTGATGTTTATGTTATTCAGCAAGTGGTTGTGTAGAAGCCATGAAATGATTGATATATCTCTGTATTAGCTTTGTTGTGCAGCTACAATTTGAAAGCTGAGGAATATTTGCATAGAAGTGACATTAGCGTTTATTCAATTTCTCATTATAATCTTTAATGACACTATATTCAAGTACAATAGGTAAGGGGGGGGGGGATAAAGAGTATCAGACAAATTGTAGGCTGGAGGAGGGAGTCGTGGTTGTCAAGCCCAAATCATGGGAAATAGTTATGTCTTCTTTGATGCAAATCCTTGGATCGATATTATCGAGGGTATAGTTATCTTCTAACAGTCTACGGTGAGTCTGATGCACCCTATTTCGAACAAACCACCAGACGGA